CTTCCTTCCGAGGAGTGGCTGGTGGGTTTGAACCGCCAGCCGTCTGGTTAGCAGGCAAGTGTCTTAGCCACTATGCTACCAGAGCTCCCATGCAGTGAAGAGTGCTTGGTAAACATTGCATTAATCAAGAGATTAACCAGTGGTGTCGTGTGGAAATACACTCCCTGATACGAGATTATAAGAAGGGCATTTTGTGATAATCTTCCTGAAAACCTGTACCTTAGGTTCCAAGAGAGCCAAACTCAACTGCCATCGATTCAGTTCCAACTCATAGCAACCCCCATTGGGTTTCCAAGGCTGTAAATCTTTACAAATGCAGACTGCCTCATCTGTCTTCCATGGAGGGGCTAATGGGTTCAAACCACTTACCTTTTGGTTTGCAGACAAATGCCTTAAACTCTGCACCACCAGAGCTCCTTATACATCAGGTTAATCCAGAGAAACATCAAACAAACCTAGTCTCCGGGAGATTTCTACAGAATACCTGCCCAGTTTTCCTCAAGACTGTCAGGGTTAGGAAACCAATACTAAGAAATTCCCAGACTAGAGGAGACAAGGGAGACCTGTAAATTAAATGCAATGTTGTACTGAGGACTGGAAACTGGAACAGAAAGAGAACATTAATGGACAGATTGATAAAATCCAAATAAAATCTGTAGCTTAGTTAATAAACAGTTTCTTAGTTTTGATGAATGCAGCATGGAAATTGAGTAAAAAGTATACAAGAATTCCATATTTGCAACTTTTCCATAAATCTACAGTTGTTTCAAAATAAAAAGATTTATTTAAAAAAAAAAAAAGTGCTGAGCTGGACACAGCAATGGATGCAAAGAGAAAAACAGTCAGTGTCTTCAAAATAGCCTGCCTCAAGGAGGTAGTCACAACAACAGTAAATGCCATAAAGAAGTACCATACATCCTGTTTTGCCTGAGACAGTCCAAGTTTATATTTGTCATTCCAGCATCATTATTAAGTAAAAACATCCTCTTTTCCAAAAGCATTCCAATTTGGATAAAATATGTGGCCACATCACCTAAAACAGGGTATACTGTGATAGCCAGAAATAGGAGGCAATTTGATGGCATGGAAGGATGGGTAGGAATTAAAGGTGGTGATAGAAGGGCAGAGTGAATGGTAAGTGGAGGCCTCACCCAGGCACGGGCAGCCTTGAGAGGAAAGGCACAGAGAGGAAAGACCCAGAGCACATACTTTATAAGACATAGAAGTCTAAAGTTGGGGAGAACTTGAGAAAACCAGCACACATGATTAAGAAGATGGGGTCTGCTAAGGTTGGAGCAAACTAAGAACTGGAACTCTTCAGGCAGTGATATATTTGCAAGCTGATAGGAAAAGTGACTATACCAAACTACAAATCAAAAAACTTGACTTTCATCAAAATTGAAAGTTTTTGTGCATCAAAGGACTTAAAGGGAAGAGACAGCCTACAGAATGGGAAAAAAATATTTGGGAATCATATATCTGGTAAGGTTTGATACCCATAATATACAAAGAACTACTATAACTCAACAACAAAAGACAACCCAATCAACAAAGGGGGAGGAGGGGCAAAAGACTTGAATAGACATTTCACCAAACAAGATAGACAGATGGCCAGTATGCACATGAAAAGATGCTCAATGGCATTACTTGTTAGTTGCCACTTGAGTCTGCTAGAACTCATGGTGACCTTAGAGATGACAGAATGAGACATTGCCCAGTTGTGCCATCCTCACTATCTTTGGTATGTTTGAGCCCATTGTTGCAGGCACAGTGTCAATCTGTCTCATAGAAGGTTTCCCTTGTTTTCAGTGACCCTCTACCAACCAGGTCTTTTTCTAGCATTGGTCTTTTCTGACAACATGACCAAAGTAGAAAAGTCTTACCATTCTCTCTTTTCTGAAGCATTCTGGCTATACTTCTCCAAGATGAATTTGCTTTATTTTAGGAGCTCTGGTAGCATAGTGGCTAAGGCACTTGATTGCTAACCAGAAGGCAGTTCAAACCCACCAACCACTCCTCGGAAGGAAGGTTGGGCAATCTACTTCCATAATGATACTGCCTCAGAAACCCAAGGAGGGGTTGCTATGAGTCAGGGCCAACTCGACGGCATGTAACAACAATATAGTAGATTTATTATTTGCCAACATCACAATTCATTTCAGTTTTCCTTTGGTCTCCCTCATTGTCTAGGTTTCACATGAGTATGATGCAGTTGGAAAGACCACAGCTTGGGGTCAGGTTCACCTTAGTCATCAAAGTGACACCTTTGCTTTTTAATACCTTAAAGAGGTCTTTAGCAGTGTATTTTCCTTGTGCAATTCACCATTTGTTTTCTTGACTGCTTCTTCTATGGCCGTTAATTGTTGATCCAAGTAGAATGAAATCCCTGACAATCCTTGACAACTTCAATTTCTTTGTCATTTCTTGTGATGTTTTTTATTGGTCCATTTGTGAGGATTTTCATTTTCTTTATTCATTATTCATTAGGGAAGTACAAATGAAAACCACAGTGAGATACCACTTTGCCCCAATAGGATGGCTATTACCAGAAGAAATGGAAAATAGCAAGTGTTAGCGAGGATATGGAGAAATGGGAACCTTCATCTGTTGTTGATGGGATTGTAAAATGATGCATCCATTGTGGAAACAAGTTTGGTGGTTCTTCAAAAACTTAAACATAGAATACCACATAACCCAGCAATTCCACGCCTAGGTATGTACAGAAGAAACCTGAAAGCAGAAATGCAAACAGATACTTGTACATTAGTGTTGATCTCAGCACTATTCACAACAGCCAAATGGTGGTAACAAGCCAAATGTCCACTGACAGATGAATGGCTAAACAAAATGTGGTCATGAAGTTCTCATACGTGCTACAACATGGATGTTGTAACATCCATGCAGAACCTTGTTTGCAGAACCTTGCAAACATTATGATGAGTGAAGTCAGACATTAAAGGAGAGAGATTGTATGATCCCACTTATATGAAGCACCTAGAATAATCAAACACACAGAGAAAAGGGGCGGGGGGTTATTAGTTTATTAGTGGTTAAAGTTTATTAGTTGTTACCAGGGGTTGGTGGGAGGGAAAAGTGGAGAATTATTGCTTAAGGGGTACTGGGTTTCTATTAAGGGTGATGAAAAAGTTTGTAAATGGGTAGTGTCTTAGGCTGGCTTTTCTAGAGAAGAAAAAACAGTGACACTTTTATAGAGAGAGAAAAAATTATCTCAAGAGGCCAGCAAGTCCCAACTCAGTAAATCAGATCTCAAGCTGGAGGCCTCTCCTCACTCACGTAACTGCAGGGGCTGATGAACCCAAGATTGGCAGGCTGTTGGTTCACAGACTACAAAGGCAACAATCCCAAGATTGGTAGGCAGTATGGCAGGCCACTGGTTCAAGTCCAAGAACTAGAGGTCAGATGTTAATGAGCCAGATGCAAGGTGCAAATCAAACAAAAAGCCAGAGAACTTTGTCAGGATGTCTATATATATATATTGGAATCTGGCCATACTTCTGAGGAAACTCCCTATCAACTGATTGGCTGCTCGTAGCAGATTTCATCATGGAGGTGATTACATTATATCAGATCTCATCATGGGGGATGACTATATCATAACCACTGAGAATCATGGCCCAGCCAAGCTAACAACCTTAACTCTCACAGTGGTGGTGATTGTATAACATGGTGAATGTAATTAATGTCACTAAATTGTAGATGTAAAAGTGGTTGAAATGGAAAATATTTTGTTAGATATTTTACCACAATAAAAAAAATCATAAAGTGAATTTTCTTGAGACAAATTCCTTACTTTCTTTGTTTCCCTTTCATGTCCATTTTCTTTAGGCCTTTGGTATAAACTGAGCTCAAGCTTACCCAAGCAGACTTGAAGGTATTGTGAGGTCCCTCTCAAAGTCTATATTGCCAGTTGCTAATCATTCAACCTAAGCAAGATTTGAACAGCTGTTTGCTGAGGCCTTAGGTCTCTGTTCCAGTTTGGTTCAGCCATGTGCTCTGCGGACTCAGAGCCTACACGGTCTCCTCCCCGGATCACCAGTCCCCTGTCCTTTGTGTAATTCTTCATTGAAGTAAAGTGTCATCTTCAATAAAGCATAGCCCCCAGGTTTCTAGTAAGCAACAAATTTCAAAAGAATGGGGAAGAAATATTTTCCAAAAACCCTGTTGCTCTTTCAGGAAGAAGACTTAAATTCTAAATAGCTTTTACTATGAAAAGTAAACAGTGTGATTCAGTTTCACTTTCTATTTAAATACAGGAACTGGTGTGCATGTTGTCACATTCAAAGAATGATGACTTTTTTCTTTAATCTTGTTCTTTGAATATTTCCATTTCCATGAGGTTATCTTAAACACTTGAAGACATGTAAAAATGGTTAGTGGAGTCTAAGGTATTTAACATCTTCTGCCTATCTGTTAACTTCTGCTAACTACTAAACCAGTTCATCTTCCTACTCATTAGGGAACAGGATCAATTCTCTAAAGATTACCTAGACCTTAAGAAAGTGATACCATTCTGAAATGTTTATAATCTCCCATTATAAACCCTGGTAGAAAAAGAAGTGTAATGATGTCAGTCCTACTGGGCGGAGGGTGGTTGGGGTGGCTGGGAGAATGACTTTCATCTGAAGTGTACCTAGAGAGGCCTGAGGTGAAGACTGACTCCTGTGGCCTCTGCTGTCCAGGACAGAAGGCACACTGCATACCTGTGTTCACATCAAAGCCCTAGTCAGGAATCCCAACCCTTCTCCATGACCTGGAGGCTAAGACAGGTAGGACGGTGACTGCAAAGGGGCTGCCCTGTGTGATTCTTGATGAAGAAATGCCCTGATGAAATTTGTTGTTCACCAATAAAGCTCATTTTTTTTTTAGAATTCACATGTCATTGTTCAACTTAAACTAGCAAAATAAGAACTTTGGTAAAATCTCCTTGGCCATCCCTTTCTTCACTCTAAATTTTCAATCCTTTGCCCTTCCCGCTGCAGAAATACTTGGATTTTGAAAAACTGATTATTGATGAACAAACTGGGAGGGAAATGGAGTGGGATCAAATGCCTTTGAATCTAAGAAGTGGCACCAAGACATGACCTTCAAATGTCCTGGCCTCAGCCTTGGGGCCTATGGAGAAAGCTCACTCCAAGGTGCTAGTTTTCATTTTGCTTCCCAGCACCTCTGCAGTCATAACCAAAGTGAGGGAAGACATTCAGCCACCTTGCAACATCATCAGGAAATTCTGCACTCCCCCAGGGCTTGCAAAACTCCCTATGTCTTGCAGACCAAAAGCAAGTTCTCAGTCACCTAACTCTAGTTTGCATGATTAAAGTGGAAGTAGGTTATCTTCTAGGTGACCCTTGGCCTAACTAAGCTAACAGGGGCATGTGTGTGTGTGTGTGTGTGTGTGTGTGTGTTTACCAGACAGAAATAACATAGCAATAAAATGAAGCGTGATCTTCAAGTGTTGGATCAATAAAAGCTTTTTTTATTTAGATGAGCAGTAAAAGTCCCAGAGCCTAGATCATAGAGCCAAAACTCTCTCTGTTGAAGCTATTAAAGTGTCTTTCTTTTCCAGCTGGTGCATGTATTAAGTTATAACTTAATATGCATGTATAAGATCAATTGGTTTAGCAGTTAGCAGAAGTTAGCAGATAGGCAGAAGATGCTAAATACCTTAGACTCCACTAACCATTTTTACATGTCTTCAAGTGTTTAAGATAACCTCATGGAAAATTACTGAGCTAGTCTAAATCCCTCACTTCTGAAAATGCAAACTAAGACCCAGAGGAGTTTATCTGACACGATATAAGCCAGTTTTAGCAGACCAATTGGGAGAACCCAGGTCTAATTTCATGTATGATTTTTAGCTTTTCAGAGTAATTTACTAATTTCTAATACCTTTTCTCTTGCTTTTTCTTAAGGAAAAAGCATAACCTGTGATCTGTTAACTTATTTTCTCCCAAAGTGAAATGAAATGAAAACTAGCACCTTGGAGTGAGCTTTCTCCATAGGCCCCAAAGCTGAGGACAGGTCATTTGAAGGTTATGTCTTGGTGCCACTACTTCTTCACACTGTCTCACTACCACACATTCTAACATGGTAACCTATGTTAGAGCATCTTTTCACTTTAAAAAAAAAAAAATTTAGAGAAAGTCACCTTCAGTCTTGCCACAGGGAGAGAGAGAGTCCCCACCTTCACAGACCAAAAGGGTACCATTTGCCCGAAGACAGCTCAGAAGGCAGGAAGGAGCAAGAAAGAAGGACAAATGGAAACAGGGATCCCAAAGAGCAAGTGGGAAGAGTGCTCATAACGTGGGGATTGCAACCAATGTCACAATACAAAATGTTTATAAACTGTTGAATGGGAAACTAATTTGCTCTGTAAACTTTCACTCAAACCACAATAAAAAGTTTTTTAAAAAAAAGTCAACCAAAGTGGCTCTGCTCTCTTCTATATTGAGCATCCAGACAAGATTTCCTTTGTACAAAGAGTCCTTGTAATAAGAAAGAAAAAGTTTGAAAATTACTGAGCTAGTCTAAATCCCTCACTTTTGAAAATGCAAACTAAGACCCAGAGAAGTTTATCTGACACGATACAAGCTAGTTTTAGCAGACCAATTGGGAGAACTTAGGTCTAAAACTCCTCGTCTATGGCTTATCCAAGTAACAATGGCGCTCAATGAGATTTGAATAGTGGAGAAAGGTCAAAATGGGACTCTGTCGATTGAAGAAAACCCATCTGGGATTAGGGCCACCTCACTGGGTGAGCAAAACTGAGATTCTCTCCCTCTACCTCCACTTCTCTAGTAGAACAAGAGTCATCTCCACAGGAGAACTGAACTTGAGGAGGGGTTCTGGTTTGAGTCAGACAACGCTTTGGTTTTAAGGTCTAGAAATGTTTTATTTGGAGCCCCTGGCCTTGACTAAGGAGCTCTGATAGTGTAGTACCTAAGGCATCTAACTGCTTACCAGAAGGCTGGTGGTACAAACCTACCAGCCACCCCTCGGAAGGAAGATTGGGCGATCTGCTTCTGTAGAGATACTGCCTCAGAAACCCAAGGAGGGGTCACTGGGAGTCAGATCTGACTCCACATCAGTGAGTTTAGTTTTTTGGTTTTGGCCTTGGCTAAGCAACCATTGGGCCACCATGCAGCCCTTAACTTTACAGAGTGTGGAAAAATAATTCAATCACTTCAGAAGCTTCTGGAGAAAGCCTCTATAGCACAGAAGGAATATTTACCAAGTGAGAGAGGAAGCTATTACTGAAGACCTATCTAACCCACTTCTAGAAGATTTAATTCAATAAAACCAGCAACTCCACCTATCACAACTTTTTTTTTCCTTTGAGTAAAGCCTTATTTGTGGAAAGTGACACCAAAAAAAAGAGCAAACTGGTTACCAAAGAGTTGATTCCAACTCACAGGGGCTCCACGTGTTTCAGAGTAGAACTGAACAGTTAGGAAGGGCTTTTGATGGCTGTAATGTGGAGGTAGGTTGCCAGGACTCCCTTCCACAATGCCACTTGTGTTAGGTGCCCGCAAGTCAGTTTCGACTCAGCAGCCCTGTGCAGAACACAAACACTCCCCGTCCTGCACCATCCTCACAATTGTGGCCATGCTTCAGCCCAGTGCTCCAGCCACCGCATCAGTCCATCTCATTGAGGCCTTCCCTTTTACACTGACCCTCTACTTTACCAAGCATGATATCCTTCTCCAGGCAGTGGTCTCTTCTAACAACGCAGCCAAAGTATGGGTGACACCTAGCCATTCTTGCTTCTAAGGAGCATTCTGGCTTTCTTTCCTCCAAGTCAGATTTGTTCATTCTTCCAACAGGCCATGGTACATTCGATATTCTTTGTCAGTACCACAATTCAAATGCATCAACTCTTCTGTGGTCTTCCTTGTTCATTGTCAATCCCTCACATCCATATGAGGCTCTTGAAAATCCCATGGCCTTTTGGTTGGTAGTCTAGTACAACTGTTTGTACACACCAAGAAAATCAGCTGCTCATGCTGCCAATGGAAGTAAAGATGTTGACAGAAGGAAATATCTGGGCCATTTTGGCAGTGGAGATAATAAATTAGCACCATTAACATGGGATGTGTGAAGGTTTCTGGATCAATATGTAACTTGATTTTTAGGAATATATGGGATTTACTGGCTGGACAAATACCTCATTCAATCTTCATCTCAATCAGCTTTAGGCCCTGGGAAGAGTGAGACACGAGGAGGGTTGTGCATGAGAGGAGAGTGCAGGCTTGATAGCTTTTAGAGTGTCCCCTGAAGTTGCCCCCTACTAGGTGCCTCTTTGAAAACTAAGATGTGCCTAACCGAAGCCATGGTATTTTCAGTAGCTTCACATGCGTGTGAAAGCTGGACAATGAATAAAGAAGATGGAAGAAGAGTTGATGCTTTTGAGTTGTGGTGTTGGCAAAGAATACTGAAAGTACCGGACTGCCAGAAGAACTAACAAATTTATCCTGGAGGAAGTGCAGCAGGAACGCACCTTGGAAGTGAGAATGACTTTGTCTCACCTACTTTGGTCATGTTGTCAGAAGGGATCATTCCTTGGAGAAGGATATCATACTTGGTAAAGTGGAAGGTCAATGAAAAAAGGGGAAGACCCTCAAAAAGCTGGATTGATACAGTGGCTGCAACGATGGGCTCGGGTATAGCAGGGATCATGAGGATGGCACAGAACCAGGCAGTTTTTCTGTTCTGTTGTACATAGGGTTACTATGAGTTGGAGCCAACTCGACGGCATCTAACAACAACAACAACAGCGGCTGCCTTTGTGGAACCTCACACAGCCTGTATTTCTGGGGATTGTCCTAAAATTTGCCCAGAAACCATGCACACTCATTCATTCATTCACTCAACAAATAAATTTTGAGCACTTAACACAGGGCAAGGAGGTCTGGTGGTGTAGTGGTTAAGACATTTGGCTGTTAACCAGAAGGTTGGCAATTCAAACTCACCAGCTGCTCCATGGGAGGAAGATAGGCAATCTACTTCTGTGAAGATTTGTTGTTTGTTGTTGTCATCCAAGGTGGTATTACTACGGAAGTAGATTGTCCAACCTTCTTTCCAACCATAAAGATGTACAGCCTTGGAGACCCAATGGAGGTGGTCATGAGTCAGAACCAGCTCAATGACAGTGAGTTTGGTTTTTAGGTACCACAGCAACATACATACAGAAGGTGAGGATTTAAGTCCTTTCCACCACCGCTGGAACACTCACACACCTTCCACCACTATACCACATTTCCCTTCTTCCATTCTTTTAATATCAACTTTCAGATTAATATTATCTGTAGCACTATTACAAACAAACCCTTTAGTGTACTACTGATTCCATTTCCTTCTTATGCAACTAGTATCCAGAGTTAATACTTGTCTCTCTCTTTTCTTTTTCGCCAAAAACTCTACACTGTAAGTGTAAATCTCTTCTGTATATATTCATACACATCACTCCTTCAATGCCCCTTTTCCAGAGCCTTTCTTCTCCAATCTGGACTGGAAACCTCTAGTTCTGCTGCACAACTTCTCTCATCATCCCTGGGATTACTTTTTACCTCTTAATGGACTAGTTTCTCTGGCTTCTTTACACTCTGAAGAAGTTGAATTCTTTTTTTGTTTGTTTAGTGTTTGCCTTTTGTATCCTGTTGAAGAAGTTCATGCCTACTGCAAAGTTACGAACATTTCCTAAGTTTTCTTCTATAAGTTTTATAGTTTGAACTTTTATGTTTAGGCTAGGACCCATTTTATTAAATTTTTGTGTGTAGTATGAACTAAGTATTGAGGGTTTTTATTTCCATATGAATATCTAGTTAATCCAGCACCATTTTTTTGAAAAAAAAAAAAATTGATCTTTCCCCCAGTGAAATATCTTGGCCTCTTTGTCAAAAATCAATGACCATATATGTGTGGAATATCTATTCTGTTATATTGATCCATATGTCTATTCATATGTCAATACCAGAATATCTTGACAATTGTAACTTTATAGTAAGTGTTAAGATGAGTTGATTGGTATCCACAAAAAAGACATGTTCAAGACCTAACTGCTGGTATGTGAGATGTGATCTTCTTT